GTCCAGGGGGGTGCGAGGCCGTAAACAACAGGGAAATACCGGTCAAAGAGGAACAAAAATCTCAGTGTTTATTTCTCCTTCAGGCTGTGGATTATTATCGTTTTCTATTTTTCCCCTCCCCACTTCCAATCCACTCGGTTCCTTGTCCTTTCGGGAGCACTAAATTCATCATGTGAATGCAAAGCGGGGCTTGTGCGGGGAAGGGAGCTGCGGTTCGCTCGAGCAGACGCATGCAAGGTCACACGCAGCCTCGCCATAAATTACGGCGTGTCCCACCGTAAACAGCAACAGGAGAGGGGAAGCACGGCGGCTTCAGGGGCAGGGGGCCGCGGGGGCCGATACATAACGTCGTGACAAGTCAAACAACTCTCAGGGTGTTCACTTGCCAGAGAAATATTTTTCACATCCAATCCATTAGGCAAACGAGATGAAAAAGTATTTCCTACTTTGCTGAAAAAATACCAGGACTCAGTATAAAGCGTGCCTTAAAAAAAAAGAGAAAAGAAATTAAGTGTGACCATCTATAATGTTTTTTTCCAGCGGCTCTGACAGCCCTCCAGGCATCCTGGCCGTGCAGGGAGGGGGCTGATGCTTTCAAGAGCTCTAACACTTTCTCGCTTTTTGGCCCGTCCCGGTGTTGCAGGAACAGCAATGAGTCAAATATTAGTTGGAAAGAAACAACCCCAGAATTCGCTTCCCTCCCTCGAAAGCCCCTCCAAACCCCGCTTCACTGAACCAAACCCAAATCGTTTGCTGCTTTTCTTTTTCCCCTTCTCTTTTCCTGCCAGGTCGGTGGGGAACGTGTTTCGTGACAGGCCTTTTTTTAACCTACAAAATGATTTTTGAAACAGGAAGATCCTCCCAAAGTTTGCCTTTCTCGCTGGCTGGCTTTTCTGATGGTTTTGGACTAGTGAAAATCCAAAGGGAAAAGGCTTCTTCCAACAGTTTTGACCGCTACTAGTACCGGCGACCGTCTCTGAGGGGGAGACAGAGGGGAGTGGTGGAAGAGCAGCTTCGCGGGCTGACTGGCGGCTCCTTGGGAAGAGGCAGTCCTCGACCGACCGCTGGAAAAACGAGCCTGTCGAAGAAGAATGATCACCCCCAAACACAAGCCGTCTTTCTACTAAATTTTAATTTATTTCTTTTTTTTGACAAAGACATCTAAATTATACACTGAGTAACAACATGACCAGATATTGCAAATACCCCTTTTTGGTGAAATTCAAAAAGGGAACATAAAAGAGCGAGCTTGTGTGGGCCGGCCGGCCCAGGGAATGCAACAGCCGCCACCTTTTGCTTTTGCAGAAGAAAGAGCCTTGTGGGGCAGGGGGTGAGTTTGAGTGGGCTGGTCTCATCCCAGTACACTTAATAAAAAAAATAATCCGGTGATCAGTTATGTTTTTGACAGAGAAAGAAGTCATTAACATGCAAGAGGCAGTACTGGTAGGGGGAAAACCGGGAGAAGGTTGCACGAAGCTTTGGCAAGCATTCTCCGAGGGCAAGGAGAGACGCTCTCCATCAGAGCGGCAGCGGGGGGAGGCGGCCGCAGCCGGAGGAGGACACGAGTCCCCGCGCCCAGCGCTCGTGGTCGGAGCAGGGGCTTGGAACCACGTTTCCTGAGGTGCCCTTGGAAAACTTCACTTCTCCATCATCTCTCCCCTCCAGAGAACACAAAGGGGCAGGAGAGGCATCTTTCATCTATCGCAAAGGCAAAACCAGATTTAATGATGTGAAAGTGAAGCAAGACAAACACCCCGCGGGAGGGGAATTAACCCCTGCGACAAACTTCTCGAGGCCCGGGGCGGATCCGTCTGTCACTCCGAGCCTTTAAATCAAGGCCGGGTGTCTTCCTACCAGAGGTGCTCTAATTCAACCGCAAGTCACCGCGCCGGCGGGGTGGCCTTTCATGGGCTGTGTTATGCGGGAGGTCAGGAGAGAGGAACGTAACGGTCCCTTCTGACTTTAAAACCCTATGAATCGATGCGACGTGTGGCAGAGCTCCACCCATACCAATGAGACAGTTTGCTTCCCCCGAATCTCACTTAAAAGAGGGCAAAGCAGACAGAGCTGGAAGGACAAAGCCTCGCACATGCAGTTACCATAAACCAAACAGGAGCTGAAGGGCTGGGAGAGGGGTAGGGGTTTCACTGAAGGGGGTTTTGGCTGGCCCCAGCCAGTTTTACAGGTGGTATTTAGCCAGGTGCTGCCGAGGGACAAGAGCCCTGCAGAGGGTATAGCGGATGTAAACGCATTCAGGTAAGGAGCGGCAAGTGAACAGAACCTCAAATCCTTTTACATTTTCACCAGGTCGATGCACAGAGAGATGTTTACAATACAAGGAGCATTTACAGCCATCACTGCAGGGTGATTTACTTAAGTCATGGTCATTTTAACCCTCCACCTCCATCCTCCCAGCATGGCTTGCTCTATCACGGTCTTCCTCTCTCACCACCTGGCGCAGGTAAACCAAATTCATCTACTGGATTACAGGTGAAGCTCTGGCTGGTACAGATGCACGCAACCAATACATGTAGCTACACGCAAACGTAACGAATGAGCCAGCAAACACTTCTGGATCCTGAGTTCAGTAAGGCAATTTTTCCTTCCAAACTGGAGCGATAGGAAAATTACTATATATTTCTTTTACACACATTTCCAAGTTTAACCAATGTGAGCCTAAAAAAAACCCACACCAAATTACCCTCCCGGATGCTTTTTGGATCCGGAAAGCTAACTGTGGCACAGGTAAGCTCGCCACTGGTAAAAAAGTAGGGAGCAGGGAAGCGCCAACTCAGCTCCCTCGCAAGTGAGAAGGATCAATGCCCGAGCCCCCAAGGGGACCTTGCTCTATCCTGCCTGGGCCAGCGGAGGGGTACCCAAGCATTTCACTCTGCACCTGGCACGCAGTGCAGGCAAATCCAAAGCTCAGGAGTATCTGCCACAAAGCTCTGCCACTCAGCCAGCACAAAGCATGCCTTCGAGAAAGGGCTGCAATTCTTTACAGCGCTTGCATCAGGCAAATGCATTCATTGCAAGGAAAAGGCGACGCTGGGATGCATTTCTCCTCCTTGGGCTGACCCAGGAACATGTGGTGCTCAGATTCCTGGCGTTCCTGATAAGCCAATGCAGCCAGGGAGTCACTGAACGAGCTATGTTTAAATGAACATCTCTCCTCATCTTACGACTCCTTACTCAATCCATGCAAAGCTGGAGCTGTGTCACTTTGCACCATTAGCGATTGCTTAACAGCTCACTTGAGCCTGCTCTTTTCCCCCTCTCAGTCATCCGGTTTTTAAAGCAAGGCTGTGCTACTCCGGCATGCATGTCCTGCCTCAGTGCCGGAGACAGATGCACTCAGAGGGTGCTGACTCACGGACGCACGCATATTAAAGTTGGATTGCTAAAGCAGTTGCTGTCCCAGCTGTCCCTCTGCCCCCAGCCACAGCAAAGACAGCTGAACTACACGTAGATCAACCGCTACTGTACATCCTGATGTATGGGGGGACCCGGAATCGGCCCCAGATGATTTTAATCTGCCGGGCTGTAACGCGTAGGCGGCCAGGGGCTGCTTCACATACAGTGCAGATGTTTCTGCCGTGAGGTGGAGACGTCCAGGGGAAGGGAGGAGCAAAGAGCTGGGAGCTCCAGGGGTGTCAGCCGTCTGCCTGGGTCCATGAGTCAACTCGCTGACGCGTGGTAAAGCCACATGCTTTAGTACACGCAGCTTTCCCCATACTGCCCGCCGGTCCGTCTCCAAGAGGTGGAAGGGGTAATGCAGTCCCTAGTCATTCTCTGGCCTTTCGCAGGCAGGCAGCAAACAAAGCTGGCAAGCAGGGCAGTGGGATTATTTTACCATCTGTGCATTAGAAACTGGCCCAGGAGTCACCAAGCTCACTTCATGCAGGACATGGCTGCTTTGGCGTGCTAATGACTCTTGCTCACTGTCAGCTGGGGCTAGATTTGAATCGGGCATGAGGAGGTGGAAAACACATTCTCTTCCCTATTTCAGCGACTGCATCTTTTTAGAGGAAAGCCAGTTCGGGGAAGAATGAATCCTCGTTTTAAAGAGTGCTTCCCATCTGCCGTTCATCAGGCTTCCCACCCTCCACCAGGGCAATCCGTAGCCGGCACGGGGCTGGGGGGACCTCAGGCCCTGGGCAGCCAGCCCGCTGCAGGGCAGTCCCCCGAGTCCGCCAAAGGGCTAGGCAAGGCCTGCTGAGGAAGCGGCGTAGGAGAATATATTTTGCACATTTCAAAAAGGAAACCTGGGACCTGGTATCTCATTCTAGAAAGTAATCATGGGCTTAATTGCATTTTGCTGCAGAGTTACCTTAACATCAAGGGAAAATCAACAGGGATTGTTCAACATCAAGACTAATCTCACATATGGAACTTACTGAACGTAGGAACCACATTTTTGCTGGCTCAAGGTGAAATGCTGGGCTAAATTCTCCTTCAGCTGTGAGAAAAGCCCTAGGCACGCTCATCCTGCATTATTCCAACTGTAAAGAGCTTCAATTATACACATATAACCCTTCTCTCCCTTCTATGGCGGTGTCGCAATGCAACAGTGCCTCGTTATGATCAAACTCCTCTTTTATGGCTATAGGAATATGTGAAAGTCTTCTACCCTCATTACACAAATGACTCCTTAGCAGCTTTATTTTAAGAAACTACCCACAATTGGTAACACAACCGCATTTTATCTGTCACTGAGGGGAAGCTGTGACTGACACCTGAGCGTGTCCTCAGCAACCGCAAACCCGCACGTATAGGGCAGGTCCTATGCAGCTAAGCAACTACAGTAACTCACCACTCCCTCTGCTCCACACTGAATCACAGTCTTGCTTCTGCTTACAAACTTGCTTGCTAATCAGACATTTAGTACTATTTATGCATAGGGAGGAAATATATAATTCCTTTATTGGGATAAAAAAACGATACTAAAGAGCAGGTCAAGTTCCAAATCCAGCAGTAGGTTTTAACCGATGTTGTTCCCTTTTTTTACTCTCTCTCTTTTTTTTTCTTTTAACAGCTGTAGCTGTGCACAGATGGAAAAACATTTGGTCAGAAAGCAGCAAATTAGTGTTTTCAGGCTGGAATTCTGCTCCTACCGCTCCTCCATTTCCATGCAGCTCAGAACGCCTTATTTCTTCTTAGCATTGACATTTTTGCACACCCAATTCATGCCGTCCTTCAGACAGAGAAAGGTAATGTTAGTCAAGTGAAGGGAAAAGGAGTCCCCCAATCCCACCCGACTGCCATTCTGCAAGTACCGTGGTCTGCCTCCTCATCTACCCCCCGCCTGCCCTCTGTGCCCAAAAACGCTGTGGGTAAAAAACCAAGTGCTTCATTGCTCGGTAGATGTTGTCACACAGAGGTTATTAAATCTTTCATCTGACCATAAAAGTATCATCATCTCATCATGTCGCTATGTGTAGGTCCTTTGAGGAAGGATCACTTTGCAGTCAAGGTACATCAGTGGCAGATGAAGGCTCAGTTCCAGGTTCAGCTACAGATGATTTGTGTAACCTCGGGCAAGTCATCTTATCTTTGAGACCGTGGATTTTAGGGGGCTGTTTGTTATACAGTCAGCTCCCTATTAAAAATATGTCTCTAATTCTCTGCTCAGCTGCAAGCCTTGAAATCCAGATCCACAAAAGCCGCTGAAATAACTGCATCTGGACCCTGCTCCCTGTGCCTCAGGGCCCCCACAGAAAATGGGCCCTGAGGGGTCCCACAGGGGTTCAGTGAGAATAGATGTGGTCACATTTTAAGAGGCCGATATACTCTTTAGGGTATTTCCATAAAAACGTGTGTGCGACATCTCTGACCACTGCAAGCAGGACAGTAACACTTCTGCCGTAAATACTCGAGTCGTGAGTTTATTGCCGAGATCCCAGAATGGGATATGCTATGGAAGGGCAAAGCGACATTTTATCTGCTCCTGTCACTTATCTGTTGTGAGATGTGCAGAACGGAATGCAAGATACACAGTCTCCTCCTATTTGTGTCCCATCAAATCCACTACCTCTACCCTGCCTACAAGGTATCTCTGCCGACAAGGAGGCTCAGGGCAGAAAGAAGGCAGGTAAGGTTTTGTGGATGAGAGGAGAGTGGCACATCTTTGTGCTTGGAAATTGGGCAAACGTCACCTTGGAGCTCTGGAGGGGGAATTTCACTGTATTATGTTCAATGGTCATTTTTGGATCATTAAAACGACAGTTAGACCCTAAGAAAGACCGGAGCCTTTGGGCCAGCATCGTTGCTAGCCCCATGGTAGCAGTGTTGCTGGCTTCCTATGCCCTTGTCCCCAGACTGCCAGAAGGCTGCCACAGACCTCAGCTGCCCCAAGGACAGACGGCCAAAGGCACAGCACGGCAGGCCCTTTGGGTGAGCTGAGACCCACCGCCGTGCCTCCATGTTGCCTCTCAGCCACAAAGGTGGTGGCCATGTTGGAGGGGAGCTAAAGAGTTAAGAGAGAAGAGAGGGAGTCCTCAGGGCTTAATCAGAAGCAGAGAGGTTCTCACTTGAAAATACCAATTCACCTTGATAGCTGCGCTATGTGACACTTCTTATCTGAAGGGGAGCAGCAACTTTTGAAATCAGCCCTTGTTGCTGCATTAAATAAAGAATAAGCGAGCCCAGCTTGTCCTGGGGTGCACATGAGGCCCTACACTAATAACACTTCTAACTCTAACCTTGGGGAGGGATGATGTCTCCAGTTTCATTTATGTATCTCCACAGCAGAGATCAGTGTAAAACAAATTGTCTGAAATCCTTAGAGCAAATGGGAAAAGACGAGAAGTAGATTCATTTTAAGGCCCAGTAGCTTTGTGTCTTCCCCTTTCAATAACACTGATAACCTAGGTGTAAAACATGTAATGCCTTAAGCAATCAATAGCATGGTTTAAAGCTTATCACTTTAGAGAGAGAGGGAGCGAGTGATTCCCAGCATGAGGAATGCCAGGGCTTAACAATGGGGCTAGGAGGAGAGGTGTCAAGCCTTTGGCTTGATTGTGTGCTGTAGAAATCTGCATGATTGCCTGCAAAGAGTAAAAATAAATAAATAACTAAAAATGCTCCCACAATGATTTCAGCTTCCCCTGCCTCGGAAGCAATAATCACATTTGCACACATCATGGCATACAAGGCAAGCAGAGCTCCTCATTCATTTTGAATGTAGGTTTATTTGCTGAACCAGAACAGCTGAGACAGCTTAAAGTAATAAATATCAGCTGACACCCTCTGCTATTCAGCACAGTAATCCCAGAAACAATACCTCACTGCAAAACAACAAACACCCATCCTATCTTCTACCTAATCTGACCACAACCTGAATTCACAGTGATTAAAACTCTGCCTGCTGCCATTTGAGAGCTCGGGAAGGGGAAAGACAGACCGTTTCAGCACCAGCGCGGCAAGGGTCATAAAGCAGAGTTTATGATGGGATTTACCATGGCTGGGAGCCTGGCTGCATCAAGCATGTAACGAGGGCAAAAGAATGACATAGCAAAATGCAAGAGGAAAGGTGAACTCCAAACAGGCTTGAAATACGTAAGTAGGTCACCGAACTTTTAAAGCAGGAATAGATTTTAAAAACTCTCTTCTGGCATGAGTTAATTGACAGAAAAAAATCACATTTAATTGTAAGTATCTCCCTGCCTGACAGTGATAAAGGGAAAATGAACATGCTCAGCTCTATGTGTGTTGTATCAAAGAGCTATGCGTGAGACACCTTCCTCATCTTCAGCGACAACGCAGCTACATCTGTAGCTTCTGGTGCAACTTTGTTGGGGGGCATGTGTTCTGCAGTGTCACCAAATGCTTTGGAGAATAGCAAATGCAATGGAAAGCGAAAGAAACTAAAGGGTACGTTTGCAGTTTTTCTACCTAAGGTTTGAAGCAGGACGGAGGGTTGGCAAGATAGAGAAATCCAGGGAAGCTGCTACAAACACAAAGAGCTGCTATGGGGAAGGCACACGGGAAAGAGGAAACGGTGCTTGAAAGAGTCAAGTCCACAAGGAGTCAACTGTTGTCATCCTTTGTCCCTACACACTCTGTCTCTGTATCTGCATGCTTAAAAGATGGCTCTGTGCAGAAAGTACAATCCCTACAGTAACATTTAGATCTTGATAGATGTCCTCATGCTGCTTTGTTGAGACACAGAGACATTGGCAGGTACTCTGAGGATGGAGACGGATACAATATTAGTATTCCAGCCTCAAGTCAACCCTGGGAAAACTTAGCCAGGGAAAGATTTCAGATCTTTCAGCTTTGCCTTTCTTAGCTCCTTAACAAGCAGCTAGTAAACTTTACCAAAGCAAAGAGAGAGAACTCCAGGGAAGAGGGTAATACTCCTTGCAGAGAAATGCTGCTCGGCACAACCCCGCCTTGCTGCAGTCACATCTGCTATTGTGCCAAGGGAGTTGTACTCTAATGCCCTTTGGGAAAGGACTGGTAGAGCCTTCCCCGGGAGAAATAAAAAGTCCTGCTTGAGATTAGCCCACTGCTTGCTTATTCTCTGCATTATCAGCTTTGCGGCTATGGGAGTGAAGTAATCTGACTTCAAACACAGCGAACAAGTCCTTTCCGCCCCATAAAAAGCCTCCCAATTTCTGCTCCCCTGCAAGCCAGGGATCAGGCAAGGCCACAAACTTGTGACCCCTAATATGACCTTAAGGACAGCAAAGCTTAATCCTTTCATGTAATCCTCTGTCTGCCATAACAAATTGGGTCAGGCAAGTGCAAAATTCTCCATCTCTAGCATTTTTGGTATGCGTTATTTTAACTGTCACTTTCTTCTCCCTCTGCACAGCTAGGACTGTGCCTTCATTATCTGTCATCTCTTTGCACCTCCAGTCATCATACAGGCTGGCTTTTGCAGGCTCCCGCAAGTACATTATCCATTGTTTTTTGCCTGGGTGCAAGCTTTTCTTTTGTCCTCTGAGACGTCGTATCCCTGATGCAGCACTGTAGACTCCCTCCTTACCCTGCTTAAAAATCACAAGACTTTGCCCTGTAATGTGGAAACATGGTTGCTTTTCCTCAA